TGGGCCATGGGGAGCTCTGACTCTGAGCAGTGACCATTGCACATGGGGTGTTTAGGCAGAAGTTGTCAGAATAAGTGAGTGTCTGCCTTCTTTCCCCATCACAGAGAGCAGCACCATAGTGGAGAGGCCACCATAGTGGAGGTCCTGGGGCTGGAGGATGCTCCCCATCATGTCACATGCTGTGCCACACACTCCACCAGTGCTGCACCACCAGCTGCTTCTCTGTGAGCTCCCAGAGACAGCAAGAGACGTTAAATCCTCCAGCCATGCTGGGAATGAAAAGGAGATAAGAAGAGTCAAGTAGAGTGGAGATGTTTTCCCCTACAACAGACTGTTTGGAAGCTGAAAAATTGACTTTCATTTCATCCATTTTAATTCTGAAGGGCAAGCGAGCCATGGCCTGGCTCTCCACTGCCGGTGCTTTGTCATCTCAACACTGCAATTTTGGAATAGATGATGGGAAAGTCCTACGGATACCAGACCCTGGGGGAGATTTTGAGGGCACACAGCTTGCAGGGTTGGGAGCAGAGGTCCAGGGCATCCCCTCCCCGCTCCCTCACGATGGCAGGGCAGCAATAGCAAAGGATAGTCTGATGCGAGTGGTTAATTTAATGCTGAGAAACCCACCAGACTGGGTAACTAGCTCTTTCTGTAAACAAAGGCAATTTACCTCCACTTTCCATTCTCAGTGAAATGGCTGAGCATGGGAAAAGAAGACCTGAGTAAGGAAAACCTGGCAGAAGTTTTACTGGTTTTCCAGCTTTCCTACAAGAAGACAAAATTCTTGTTTAGTTCAAAACCTGCCATATCATAGAACCCCATCCAAGGAGGCTGCAGAGCAGCACCCGCAGGGTTTGAGACAGAAATGGCCCTCCAGCATTCCAGCCTGGCCTGACATGTCCCTCTGACCATGGGTATGGTATGAGCCTCAAAGGCCCTGGATGGGAGTAAGGAGGGAATTCTGCTGCTCTCCTTGCAGAAGACATTAAGGTGCTGCTGATGTGCTGAGCTCCCTTCCCCTGTCCCTCAGATGAGGGCAATCCTTCTCAGAAGAGCATATCAGTATGATCCTGTTACCCCACTCTATGATTTCCCCAGTTTAACTTTACTTATGTAACATCATATCTTTTTGTATCTCTATTTTCAGCATATGGCAGCACAAGCAACAGGTAAGTCAGTGAAATTCTTTCTGGTTTTTCCCTATGATTAAAGTCTTGCTATTCCAGGGAACATAAAGCCCAGTCACAGAATGTCAGCTACTCCTTAACCATCGTTTCATGATCATAATGCTGTCATTAGAAGCGTGTTTCAAGTGTGTGTTTAGCAGCCCAGGGACTGTCACCTGTAACAAATTTCCGGCTGGGACTTGTTTAAATCTAACAGCCTGCCTTCCTAGATCATATTGGATCAGTGAGTGCACACTACTCTTTGGAATTAGGTTTGTATAAGGAAGGATTAGCCTTGTATAACATAATGTTACATTTTGTTGTTCTGAGCTATACTAAATGTAAATCATGTCTCAGACACAATAATAATTCAAACGGGAAATGCAAAAGGAAAGACATCAATATGAAAAAGGAAGATAGGCTGTATAGGAACACAGTGCATTTGGAACAGGTTTTGAAAGTCAAATACACACCTTTATTTGCAATGCTCTGGTACTGTTCAGTTACCCAATGAATTTCTGTGAAATAATGTCATATCTGCACCTTTATGAATGGCACAGCTGGAGGAGAATGGGAATGAGGCAGCAGTAACTTGGAGCTGGCAGAGAAGCACCCTCATAAGCAGCATTACCTCTGTCTCTTGCAGTTGGACAGAAACATGGAAATCTGGAAGATTATGTAAGTTCCCTTTCATGAAAGGACTGAAGGAAGCACTTCCTAACATCTCAGAAATAAATAATGCAACTCTGTGTTTAAATAGTGCTTTATAAAAACTGAATTAAAGTGGAATTAAAATAGAACACAGGCACAGAATGCTTTGCCTCATTATCTGCAGTGGAGAGGCAAGGCCTTCAGGCAAAAGGTGCTTTCTCCAAGAGGAGATCTTACTTGTGCTGTGAGGACACAGACACTGTACCTGCCCAGGGGTGGATAAGGAACAATGTGCTTGAAAATCATCATGGGACCCAGGCAAACATCACCCACAGGCTCTGCTGAGGGGAAGCAGTGGTGCCTCAGCCTGTCACAGAGGGGGCTTCGAGCAAGGAAAGGAACTTCTCCCAAGAGCAAAGCTGAGTGGGGCAGCCTGGCTTGGGCCAGCTGTGGGGAATCAGCCTGTTTCCTCCAGGAGGCTGTAAAAGGGATGTGGGCAGGAGGTGCTGGGCAGTGAGTGCTGTGGGTGCCCTTTGGGGTCATGAAGTCGACACAGGGGGACATGCGACTCTGGTAGGTGCACGGCCACAGTTCAACTTGAATTAAGCTATTCTTCTTTCTCCTTCAAAATGTGCTTTAGCTACTGTGAGGATATTTTCAGTTCACCCAGGAAGGTTCTCACTGTGTTTCTTCTTGCTGCTGCTGCTTGTCCTGAGCCCATCTGTTGTGCATTGAAGCTGATGCCATGACCTATGTAGCACTAGAAGAGCTCTCTGCTAGAGCTGCAGCAGAGCTTCAGCTTCCAGAGAGCTCTGTAATGGAGGAGCTGGAGATGTTCCTAGCAGGATACGGGAAGGAGAAAGAGCAGCTCTCTGCAGGGAGCATGGAATTATCACAGAGCAGCACTCCGGTCACTTGCTTGGTCTGCAGTGGCACAAAAATGGTTTATCACCAAGGTTGGCCTGTCCTTCTGGGCCGTGTTGGGTGACCTTTAGTGGAAGTGTCATCCCTCTCTTCCTTGCAGCGCCTTGGGCAGCCCCTCCTCACTGGCAGCAAGGTGTCCTGCATTGGTCTTTCCACTGCTTGGATCCATCTGCTCCCACGCAGCGCTCAGCCCTTGTCTTTCACAAGCTTTGTTTGTGGAGTACGCAGCTTCTGTGCTCCCAGAAAGCTGTAATAAAACCAGGAGCACAAAGGTCTGGAGCAGGTCAGCAGGGCTGCTGGAGGAGTCTGTATCAAGAACAAAGATGGCTCCAGCCCCTGCTCTGAGGAAGGGCCAAGAGCTGCATTTTCCCTTGTAACACAAACTACTCCCTGATGATGCACAGTTTGGGTCAGTGAGGGCACAAGCCAACTCTGCCGTGCCTCGGGCACATCAGCAGTTCCCTCTCCAAGCAGCAACTTGTACAGATGTGTAAATAGAAAATGTCGGTTTGCTTCTTGAAGGATCTATTGTTTGGTGGAACAACAATAACAGTTCCCCAGTGTCCTTCCCAGTAGAGAGTGCGTATTCCTGCAGAGATCAGCTTTGCTTACTGGAACACAAAACCTCCCAGTAATTACCAGGAAAAGCTGACTCACTCTGTACAGCTTCTCCGTGAGAGCCGAGATGGGAGCTCAGCTGAGAAAGCAGCTCTGATGCCGTCTCATTACTGATGGGGCTTTCTAGATCCCTGAAATCGTCCTGGTATTCTCCTTTAATATTTCATGGCGTGCTCTGAGTGCTCCCATGTAATGCTGGAAGGAGACAGTTCTTGGGACTGGGTGTTACAGGAATAATGGGGGAGGTCAGCAAAATGGGATGATAGAAATGTTTCTATGCACTCAGAAATCTGAGCTGTGGAATTGATTTATGAGATTAATATGGTGCTGGAGGAGTTAGGGTGGGGTGTAGGGTATTAAAAGGCCGTTTGGGCTTGGGAAGGAGTTAGTCCTCTAACAAGGCTGACAGCATTCTACTAGTGATAATATGAATTTCCAGCATTGCAGCTTGTATGACTTAGGTGTGTAGTCAGGCTTTGAACCAGCTGGAGCATGTGTTGAACTTTCTCTTCATCTCTGAGCCAGAGCTGGTGGGATGGGGGTGGAGGTGTCCACTAGTGAAGCTGCTTCTGCAGCGCTGGTCCAAGAGACGAAAATACTAAAGCAGCTTAATGCCACCTCTAACTGAGAAATGATGGGAAAGAAGGGAACTGCAGTCAGATTCTGAAGATGGTAACTTTTGATTTTGGGAAAGTTTAAAACTCGAATTTATTACTCCTGGATTGGATATACTGTGCTGTCTGAAATGAAGCTAAAATGTCAAGGGCCTTGTTTGTTTGGGATATGGCTGAGTTAGGTCACACAAACCCTTCTTACCAACACCCAGGTTGTCCTTTGTTCCCTGGAATGGCCTGACCTCTATACAAGCCTGCTGTTCTGGGGCACAAACACCTGGATAGGTACTGAGATTATCACTCTGTGTGTGGTCACTGTAGTTGCAGCTCTGTGGATGCCATCCCATAGTGTCTTGTTGAATTTCAGTGAAGCTGCTGTGCCTACAGGCTCTGACTGTGTCCATTTTGCTCATTGTATTCATGGGGGCTAAAACCCATCTCCGTGGACTTGTGGTTTCATGGTGATTTCAGAGCCCTTTTTTGGAGATTGCTTTCAAAGGAGGCTGGGATGGCTCTTCCCTCATGGATAATAAATTGGTCATGCATGAGCAAGGAAAAACCTGCTTTCTGTATTTCCCACTGGGTGCTCATCCCATTCTGGGACATGGCACCAGGGTCTCATCCTGTCTCCAATGCCATGAGATGTGATCAGGGGACTGATCTACTGGAGTAGAGAAGCTTCAACCCTTCATGAGATCTGGCCAACCCTGCCTCTATATCAGACCTAAAACCAAGTCCATTATTTAGGATTTGAAAGAAGCTGATTGTTTTCCTACAGCTTGAAACAAAGGCATGGAGTGGTATTCCCATGTTTGCAGACCAAATCTTTCTGAGCAGATGGCAGAGCAATAGGGGAGGCTTTGGGCAGCTGCTGCTCCCCTGTAAACCGGAGGGACAGACAGAAGGTGGGCGTCCGGAGAGCAAAGCCTGCACAGGACTCTGGGGTGGTAATAAATTAGAGGCAAGAGTTGGAACAAGGCCACGAATGAGAATTTAATTGCACACTTCTTGTGTTTCCTGAGACTGAACCATACTAACTAGGAGTGATTCTGGAGGAAATGAAAAGCTGATACCTGATGAAATATCAGAGTGAGAAGCTGCATATGATGAGTCCTGGATGGAACAAACTGTGTCATTAATGGAAGTACAATGTCTGAATCCACCTTCTGCAACTTGGATGTGTCGAGTATTGGCTCAGCAATAATTTATCACTTGAGGAGCACTGCACAGACCAAGCGTGGTCAGACTGTGACCACCTCCTCCTCCTGCTGATTAATGGAAGATGAGGTAGGCAGGGGGTGATCAAGAATAGCCAGCCGAGGTGTCCTGGAGGATATTAGGAGGTTTGTTGTGTTTGACCTCCATGAAGTTAACAACAGACAGAGGAGACAACCTGTTCAGTCTGCTGAGCACTGAAGACCCGTGACCCACACTCCTCAGTAACCAGCCCACTCCAGGATCCGTGTGAAGGTGAGATGTAAGTTCACTCCAAAACATCAGGGGTTCTCAGACCTCAGTGTGTTTTGGCAATGTTTGTCAAAGATCTGCATTTTCGGGCTTTACGGGAGTCAGAAAACAGGGACTGATGGAAATAACTTGTCAGTGCTAAAAAGAGCTGGATACTTGACTAAAAGAACCCTTTTCGTTGGTAGACAGACTAAAGAAAACATACAACATTGGATATATCTTCTTATTGGTTGGCTCAGGAGTCCACTGGTACTTGAGAGAAAGCCAGCAGCAAGAAACGTCTGCCATTTGTGTCGATGCTCTCATAAGATCTCACAGAAACATCGTGTTATCCTTTTCAGCAAACTTGGCTAAGCATTTCAGACCATCTTAAATTCTGTTTTATTTTGAAGGATTAAAGCAAGTCAGAACTTCTGTTCAGGATGTGTGGGAATTTTTAGGGGACTGTGAAATGAGATATGTGTAAGGAGGCCTTTTGTAATACACCGGAGAAAAATATTCATATTAAAAAATGAGATGAATAAATGTGAATTCAAATCCAAGGTTGTGGGGATGGTTTTTTGTTGCCTTTTTTTTTTTTTTAAATAACATCAACTTTTGAAGGTGATCCAAGCAGAAAAGCATTATCTTCAGCTGCAGTATATCTCCACCATGCCTACCCTTGACTGGCTAATGCAAAAAGCAAACCAGTTGTGGGAATCAAATAACAACTGTTGTCCAGGGAAAACAGCCATGTACAATTCCAGCTGCTGCTGGAACATCAACAAAAACATGCTGTGAGCAGTGGTGGTGTGGCAGCCCATGGCGCAACGGTGATGGGAGGTCACCACCATATGAGGAGGGTTTGGTGCTCGCCTGACCTGTGGGAAGGTGCCTCTCTGGGGCTGGATCCCCCATGCTGGCTCTTTGGTTTTCTCGTTTCCTCTGGTTTCTGGGCAAGTTTTCAATGATTGTGTTCTGAGGCTGGGAAGGGGGAAATACTTTAATCAGAACAAACAACATGGCTTTGGGAAAAGGCTGAGTGTAGAGATGGGCCTCAATGAGGAAAGCAACCAGGATTTAGGGACAAGGAAATGATGCTTAAAAAAAAATTATTGGGTTGGGAAGGGGAATATTTGACTTCCAACAGAGCAATTGCCCTCTTCTGATGAACACTTGAGTATTTTCAGCTGGGGATGGCTTTTCATGTCTGTGCTCAGGACCTAGTCTGAAACAGGCACAGAAAGCTTCCTCCTGGAAGGGAGGGCTTGCAGACTATGCCAGCCGGCACTGCCCTGGGTTGATTCTCAGCAAGAGAACTGAGCAAGTTGTTTAACTTGGTCTGATGGAAGGTGTCTCTGCCTATGGCAGGGGGGTGGAACAAGATGGTCTGTAAGGTCCCTTCCAACCCAAACCTGTGATACCAACTTCCTTCTCTCTAACAAGGACTGGGATATAGTGTCTGAATTTCAGAGTTAGTCTCTGTAAGATCAGAGGAGACCAAATCCTCTCCAACCTCTGTCCAGGATCATTAAGCTCCACGCAGCCTCTTCATGTACCACCACCAGTGCTCATCCTCACCTCTTGCTTCACGTGGATTTCAGGAGGCTGAGGGGACTCAGCGGTTCCTCCAATACTTTGTTCCAATCATTTCCCACTGCTGGATAGGGAACAACTGCTAGTTTTTCGCGGCCTTTCTCTACAGCAATTTCTTTTGCCATGCTTTTCACAGGTAGACTAAGAGGTGCTGCAGTACCCACTGCTTTTTCTTGAAAGTTATGAATGCTGTAATTTGGTTGCTTCTCTAATTGGAGGCCCAGAGCCCACCCAGTTCTTCAGGTCCATGGCTGTACTGCATTTTCTCCACCTCTCAGGTTATTTCTGCAGTTGTCTTTGCTTTGTCTCCACTCCTGGCAAGGAGGCTCTTTGCCTTGAGGCTTGTTGAGACAACCTGAGGAAGCAGAGCTGTCACAGTGTCATGGCCAAACACAGAGATCTGGGGTCATGGTGGATAGCTCTGTCCCCTTGGTGCCAGGCTGCTCCCAGGGACTTCTGCCAGTGACTGTTTCCACTCTCAGGCTGTTAATGGAAACTTCAAATAGCATCAAACCAGGGTCACCTGGGAACCTTGAAATAACCTTCCCCTCCCTCAATCATATTCACTGCCAAAACCAATTTTTTGGGGCGATCTCATCTATAAAGATCTTCATCCAAAGTAATTTCATAATAAAATGAAGTATATGCCAGTTTTGTGGGGTTTTCTATCCAGACATAGAATATCAAATGTAATCAGGGCTGTTTAACCTCAAAAGTGGTGCTGATCAGCATTAAGTGTATCTTTACGTTTTTAGCACTTTGAATTTAATTATGTAGCCGCATTGCGCTCACTGTCCAAGTTTGATGCCAACAGATTTGACTCATTTGGCTGGACCACCTGAAATGCTGATTTGAATCTGGGGCTATTGCACCACAGACATCTGCCTGGTATTTTAAAACATATAAAAAAATACTTCTTTTTTGGCTTTTCTCACCAGGCCTTTAAAGGTTTGAAATTCTAGCTATTAGGACCAGCTCAGCATCTCTGCCTCTGAACTTGATTTTCAGGCAGGATGATGGGACCCCCAGTGCCTACCTGTGTGTGGGGAGGAGGGTTCCCTGCAAGGGGGGCCAGGCTCTGGCCTTGGCCATTGTTGGACTGAGAATGAGGAGACACCTTCTCCTTCAGCCCTAAGGCAGCAGAGCTGTCTCCAACCTGGTGCAAACAGATTTCTGGGTGTTACAGATGAAAACATCAGTGGATTCGCTTAGAAGAGCTATTTGTGTGAATTTTAATCCTTAATTGAGTTTAGTTGTAAAACCTTTGTATGACCTTTTTATGAATTAGGTGTAGACGAGTAGGAAATGTTTTGCATTATCACTTGAAAGTCCCCTTCCTGCTGTACCTTACTCCCACAAATAATTAGAGAGGAAAGGGGTAATTATAGAATCAATTGATAGCAGTATTTGGCTCAGACAATGCTAGAAGAGAAACTATAATTTAAGCTTAACATGTACTATAAAGTTGACGAAGAAAATGGAAATTTATGTAAATTCCAGCAGTCAATTTGTAAGGTTAGTGGCTACGTGGGATGCACATGTTTGTGACTGTTCTTTAGGTTCAGCTAGTTAGGGCAGCTTTCCAAACTAAAAAAGTACTTTCCTTTGGATACCATCCTCTGAAAATTTAAAAGCTTTTCAATGTGAAGAGGGTAAAACCAGTTGCTTGTGATTTGATTGAAACTTCCCACTTCTTCCACTGCTTACACCAAGAAGAGGGGACATGCTCCCTGGGGTGCTTTGTGAACATGTAGTGGCCAGGACAGAAGTCCCACAGGTCCCCACTTCATCTTGTATTTCCTAATAGTCATCTTGCTCTGAGGGGCTGGGGTGTTGAGCAGTTATTGATATGCTACAAAATGTATTATTATTATTTGAGTCATTCGCATAATTAAACACTAGGAGCCTTGACAGAAGCCAGAGCAGTTCTTAACAGGCAGGGTTCCCAATATGCTCTGCCCCAAAAGGCACATTTCTTCTCTTGCAGGCTCTCAGCTGATGTCCCCTATAATTTTGGATATCAGACCGACAGTGATGAAGAACAAAGCACCCTCTGAGGGCACAGGTACCGGGAGGCTGGTGGCAGGCTCAGACCTGCAGGGAAGGGCTGGGGTGGGTGCTGGTTGTGCTGGTGCTTGTCCCAGGGATGAGGAGCTGGACGGGATCCCGGCCTGGGTGTGAGTTATTGGATTTACCTCCACGTGGGAAGCTGAAAGCTCCTCTGATCGTTTATTCACTGTTATCATTTATTCTCAAATGTGAGAGCGAAGCTTTTGGAAAATAAGGTGAAAACCAGCAAGTCGCCTCCTGAAGCTCGTTCTGTTCCTTTGTGTTTTCAGCTGCACCCGCTGACTTCAGCAGAAAACATCGGCTTTTACTTGAATTTGTTCTTTTCAGGAGCAGCAGAAGCCTATGGAGGAGTGGGTGGGCTCTATTTTGTGTACAGCAACCCCCCAGGTTCAGTCTTACTCTAATTCACACTCGCAGAAAACTCCCACTCATTTGAGGACTAGATGATAAGGCTGTAAATTCCCAGTGTGGGAGTGGCTTTTGCCCCTGTTTACATCACTGTCTCGAGACCAAGGCAGAATTTAGCTCTCAGAAGCGTAAATTTTGGGTTGAACAGAAGCAGAAAAACATCACATGTGTTCTGAACCCAACTTAAATTTTAATGTTGGTAACAAGAAAAAGAACTCTTAAAGCTGTATTTGAGAATTGCTGACCATCACTAACCACTGTTTACTTTATATCTGCATTTGTAATCAATTTATAGAATACAATTGGAAATTCAGAAAAATCCTGGTCTAAATTAGGATTTTGGTCTGGAGAACCAGACCTTGGCCCTTTAAGGGGTAAGAGGAAAAGTAAGTTCATGTGTTTTTAAAATAACTTCATGAAACTTATTCTTTAATCTGCCAATTTCCGTTTCCATAGAAGTCTTTTCTCCACAGCTATTAAACATCTTTAAAATATAATTTAAAAAATGTAATAACCTTTGTCATCTGTTCTACAGCTTGCCTTCAGCCAGTGCACTACTTGTGAATACAGAATTTCAAATTAAATTTACTAATCTCATGGAAAAGGGACACTAGAAAATATTGCATTCACAGTTTATACTGCCACAGCAAGCTAAGAACAACTAATTCTATCAAGTAACAAAATAAATTATACATTCCCTCTCCTGGTTGAGCTGAAATATTGCACAAAATTATTGAAAAGCTTTTCATGTAAAACCGAAGGAAAATACCAATTATCGCCGTGTTCCTGGCGGCGGGTGGAGGGGGCTGGAGCTGAGTGTTCTGCTCTTGTGGTAATGGGACACACGTGAGCTGTTCCTCGGCAGATGGGCCTGTCCTTAGGCAGTCCAGAGGCACAGGAGGAGATCTTCCACCTCTTGGGGGATGCTGTAGGTGCAGGTCTGCCCAGTCCATCCCCTTGGCACAGCCACACACAGGCAGGAGCCCGGGGAGCTGTGTCCTCCTGGGGCAGTGGGGTGGTCTGGGCCAAGCAGGGCTCCCAAGATGGTACCATGAGGGCTGCTGAGGTGCAGAAGGCTGTTACTGAATCCCAAACCCCTCCTATTTCCAACAATCAGTGGTCAGTCACAGGTCACAGGTGTGTTAAGGCTCTTCCTGCAGAAGGGCCACTACACATACACTTTTTTCATGCCCATGTCTTTATGTGTATATAAAGCATATGTACTTTTTGCAAGCTGCAAACTGACAAATTGTGTGTTTGCCCCAAGCAGGTGTGAGTTCAAGACAAAGTCATTTCACAGAGTTACAGAATATGCCCAGTTGGAAGGGACCCACAAGGATCATCAAGTCCAGCTCCTGGCCCTGCACAGGACCATCCCCAAGAGTCACACCAGGTGCCTGAGAGTATCACCCAAACGCTTCTTGAGCTCTGGTAGCCTTGCTGCTTGGAATGCACTGTGACCAAAGGGGCTGTTTACCTCCCTTGGAGACTTAAAGAATTCCAGTGACTCTGAAATCAAGGCATCAAACCAGAGAAGTTCAAATCTTCTATGAGATCAGTTCTTCTGATTTTTTTTCCTGCTGCATTAAAGTGCAACTATTTAAAATGTAAAGAAATGCCCAAGCCTGCCAGGAGGTGCTCCTCCCTGCAGCTCCTGTTGGAGTGTTTTGGGATGTCCTGAGGCCAGCTGGAGCACAGCAGCCACATCCCTGCCAACACATCCCCTGGACAGAGGGCAAAGGGTGCTCCTGTGGATTGCAGTCTTTCATTACAGCTCCTATCACTGTCAAAGAGTTCTTCCAGGGACATCCCAGAATCTCCCTTTAGCCTCAGAAAAGTCCCCAAATACTGCAGGAGAACTTAGTCCAAGAGATTATGGCCACTAGAGCAATGACAGGAAGGATCTGGTAGTGTCTGGTGTAGAAAGGGGGTGAAATGATGATTCTGATGTGTGAATGAGGACCAGGAGCTTCAGGAATTAATTTCTGTCTCTAAAGATGAATTCAGAAAGGTAGGTTCAGGACTGTAAGTAACACCTTCCTTCCACCTTGCTCTCTTCTCTCTGGGTGGGGTATGGAGTTGACTTTTCAAGGTAATGCTCACACTCTGTGTGGCTCTGGAAGTGTGCAGTGCTCAGCTTGGACTCTCCACCCTGAACAAAGCCTTTACAAAGTGGAGTTTTAGGTGGTTTTCACCTATAAAACTGGGTTGGTGTTTTGAGTTTCTACCAAATCTATGCAGGAATACAGTGGAGAAATTTGTTTTTGATACAATGTAGTTTAACAAAAATCCAGCTCATTTGGCACATATTGTCAGTATAATTGGAAAGAAGTGGAGCTCCTCCTGCAAAAGCCATTTCTAGGAATGAAGTCAGAAAGCACAACCCAGCAGCTGTTCCAACAGCTCCATTTGGATGTGGCTGTCTTTCTGTCCATGCCCCAAGTAAATTGCTCGGAAACCAGCCAGAAATAAATGGGGAGGAATTGGTGTGCTGACAACAGTGTGCTTTGATTTGTCTTCTCACCCTACCACCAGCTGTCTGGCCTCGGGAGCTGACCTTTATTTAATTGGGACAAGTCTGGAAGGATCACTACAAAGCAGCAGGTCCCTGTGTTTGTTCCCCCACCTATTTGTGAGAAGAGGGTGGTCCAGGGAGTAGAACTGTGGTCTGCTGAAGCAGTTGCCTGCTCCTGTCAGGGCTCTCAGAGAAGCTTCAGAAGGAGGTGAAATAAAGCTCTCTTGCTCCCAGGAAGCTACACGGTGCTGCTCACCAGGGTGGAATGAGGAATGCTATCCTCAGGTGCTCTGCTCCACAGGAGGAGGTTTGTTAGAGGCAATTTCCTCAGAGCCCTTTTCTTCCTTGCTCAGAGCCCTGTCCCTCAAGCTTCTTCTGCAGCACACCAAGAGAGGTTTTGTTAAGGGAAGGAGGGAGAATCCTGCACAGGTGTTAAACACCAGCAAGTGGCTCTTTGGGCAAATGCTCTGGTGCTGGGCTCTGTCTGTGGGATGGGGATACACTGGGGTGGAGGTTTCACCTCACTCGAGCACAATGGGGGACACCTTTTCAAAATCAGCCTCTTTTGTGCCTCCCTACTGTGACTGCTGCACTCACAGAAGGGATTTCTAATTATTTTTTTTTTTCAGGAAAGGTGCTTGAAAAAATGTTTCTAATGAAATGCTTCTGGGTGCGTAATCAGAATTTTTTTAATGGTTCATGTCATAAGTGCAAAGAATTTTGGCTAAAGTTGAAGGTAAGGGTTTTTTTAATCAGCAATATGCTCATTATTCACTTCCCACTCTCAGCCAAGACAAGAAAAACAGCAGCTTTCTGATGAAAAGAAGAGGATCCATCAGGTCCCACTCACTTTTCATGAACTAAGAACTGATGTCAGTGACTGTCAGATTCAAGTGATTTTCCCCATAAATCTCCTCTTTACTGGCAAAAAGGAATCATTGTTCCCTAACACTGCACAAGCTTTTTGTTCAGGTTTGCTGTGTATAAAATTTAATGAGAACAGGCACGGAACACATCAAGAGCTGAGCATGTGTCAGTTACAAACCGTGTGTTTGAAAACCTTTTCCTATAATTATCTCCATTTCCAGTCCCCTACTCAGGGAGGATGAGGAAAGGGCCTTGTGTGCTCTTGGCAACAGTGCCTTCCCAAAGCAGCAGGAGAAGTGCCTGACTGACAGAATTGGATGTGGCTGGAGGAAAGGGAGAGAGGAGAAGGAATTCATCTGAGTCCAAAGTGAGGTGTCCCTGAGGCCCCGCTTCTGTGGCTGTTCTTCAATTTAGAGGGATTGGGTGGTTTTATTGACTGACTGGGCTGGTTGTGATAATCTTGTCTGCTGGTCACCCATCTGCTCTATCTCAGTTTGTGCTCTGTCCCTGTCCCAGGGAGCTGGTTATGGTCTATCCCTGTCCCGAGGAGGTGGTTATGGTCCATCTTTCCATCAGCATGTGGAGGGTACAACACAGTGGGGTCCTGGGCTGGGACACTGAGGACTGGTGCATGAGGAATGATGGTCCTGGTGAGGACTGGGAAAACAGTGACATCCCCTGGGATGCTCACAGACAAAGCTGATCCTACGTTAATGCACACACACAGCAGAGTAACAGTGGCCTCAGCCACCTGTGTCCTTGGCACCCTGTGCCTTTAGAAACACAGCCTGTATCAGTTTTCCACAAACAGTCTGTGATAAACTCCAGCTGCAGGGAGGAAACAGTGATGCTCGTGGACAGCCTGCACTATCCTGAGGCTCACTGCTCCAGGGCACAGCAGGTACTTTTGGGAACCCTGTTTAACCTGCATAGACTGAAGTCTCTGTGTTGGCTGCAACTCACCAGCCTGTGCAGACTTCGGACCTTTTGCTGCCCTGAGAGGAGGAACACAAGCTCAGATTTTGCCTTCATTTTGTGACAGAAATAACCACCATGGCTCTCTTAGTTCTAATCAGAAATGTAGTTTTTTTCTTTAGGGCTATTTCTTTTCTAAAAACAGGAGTAGCCAGGCTTTTAGGTCACAGGAGGGAGGGATGCAGCCAGGATGGGAGCTGTTCCTACCATTCACCACTCAGTGTGAGGGGGCAAAGCTGGGACTGAGAGGTCCTTGGTGCCAGAGTCAAGCAGCTCTGTCATGGGAAGAATGGAAGTTTCATCCAAAATTTTTCAGAGATGCCCTCCAGTTGAGCCATGAGGTGCAAAAAGGACCCCCTGGCTTCCCAAACCCCTTCTCAGAGAGGAATTTGTGTGTGGCTGGATCCAATTCTAGTCCCAGATTTGGTCTAGGACTGGAATGTCTAAAAATTAGACTTTAGACTAGAATGTCTAAAAGATTATAGAAGTGTAAATGAGCCCCTCTACAACTTTGTCCCACAGAATTAAGGATGGCAAACCAAATGTATACAAAATTAATTACTCTCTTCAATTGATGATTAGAATGATTAGAATAAAGCATCTTAATCAGAATTATCTGCTACACAACATCGGTAGTCCTAAGTACAATTATAGTACATTACTTATTAAGTCAATAATTTCAAAGCCATCTTACTAATTATCAAGTAGAGATTGAAGTTACACCAATGTCTGCAGGCTCAGCCCTGAGATGTGACCTTGAGCGGTGTCACCACTCCAGGGACGAATCTCCATGCACACTTCTAGGAGGGGTATGTTAGAACATCCTGTCATCCACCCCTGTCCCTGGAAGTGTCCAGGGCCAGGTTGGATGGGGCTTGGAGCAACTTGTGAAAGGTGTCCCTGCCATGGCAGGGGGTAGAAAAATATAGGCTTTAAGGTCCCTTCCAACCCATACCACTCTGGAATTCTAAATGTTCTTTCAATGGTTATAGGTGAGTGTTGCCCTCACACAGGTATTTTACAACAATAAAATTCAGCTTTTGTGATGCTGTGATTCATTATCTTAACTCTTAGGAGTATGCTCTTAGAAATGTCAAGATTTGTCATCTTAAAAGGCAGAAATCAATCAGCAAGTGAAAACAAGCACAAGGATGTATTGTAATTTTTTAATGACTTTTTGAGGCAATTAGAAGTTAATCTAAATCCTTGCTTCTACAAAACCCTTGTCCTAGAAAGTTATTGCGGGAAATGAGAATTCCCATCTACTTGAAAGCTTTTCCTCAAAATCCAGAGGTTTGGCCAGTGCTGGAGACAGAGGTGGTGGTGTCTTTTGCACAGGGTAGAAATCCAGCCTTCTTTGTATAAGGACCGTCCAGAAAAACATAGTGATTTTTGGATGGAAATGATGGGGAGGAACCACAAGAGTGAAATAAAGTGTTTTCTTTCCCATCTCCAATCTCTAAAGAGAACAGTAAATATTTCATCTTGTTTGTGATCGTCTGCCACACTCCAGCAGTTTATCGGGTACATTAATAAATGTATGAAACGTGACCTCAGTATAGTTGAGCATCAAACATGGGGTTGGCATGAACCACATGGACCCCGAGAGGTGCAGTGCATTTGCTTTCTCGGCTCTTACCTTGCACAGCCCGCCCAGCGTTGGTGTTGGAGTGACTTTGGAAATGTTTACCAGGACTGTGCTTTAAGCTCAGCATTCAATTAATAAAAAGAGAAAGAGGTCGTGCCCATAATTTGTGTTTGGCATTGGAGAACTCGCGGGTTGTCAATAGCATTTTATTTTTTTCTTTGCAATCTATTAAAGGTGTTTAATTTCATTTTAACCTTAAACAGTTAGAGCTGGTAGTAGCCATCAACACTAAATTAATACAGTTGTTTACAGGCATTAATTGCCATGGCTGAGTGGTAACAGTGCCTCGACAAAGTAAACCCCTGATCTGACCATCTCCCAGGGAGCGTGTCCAAAGCAGTGGGTTACGGAGCTGCGAGACGTCTTCTGCAGTTAGGACTGAGTGATCCTTATTAACTGCCCTGTGCCATGAGGGGCACAGCCTGTGTCCTCCTCGGGTTCTGATTTCCTGCCCTTCATTTACTGAGTGTGTACATCAAAGCAGAAGTAATTTCCCATAATGGAGTGGGGTGTGAGTGCAATGGAGCCCAGACAGTAATAGCTACAACTGCTTGGAGATGCTTTTGTACAGTAGCATTTTATTGATGTTTCTTCCTGATAACTCTTCACTGAGTGCAAGCAAAATAAACTGGAGTAGTAAATGCCTTGGAAACCATTTTGGAGAGATGACCTGAATGTTTCTGCCTTCTGTACCTTTGACAGCGGTGAGTGTGTAAGGAGAGTTGCCTCCAAAGGAAAGGCATGGCAGTAAATGATGCAAATTGGCAAGATTACAGAACGTAATGAATCCAAAGAAGATTTAAAAATATAATTGGAAAGAATGTCAAAGGAAAAAATGCTTAGTGTGTTTTGTCTGTTATTGGGACTTGAGCTCACATCCTATTAAGAAATTTGCCCATGCCAAGGAAAGAGATGAAATGTCTCACCGACTCCTGCGAGCACTGATAGCACACAGTAACTGTGTGCAGGGGTGAGTGCAGAGCTGCTGTCGTGGGTTCTTTTATTGTTCTTTAATTCCTAAGGGAAGAGAAAATCTGTTTCTTAGAAAATTCTTCTCCGTGTTTTGATTTCTCCTCTGTTTCCTTATGCTAATCAGGCTCATGTGATGGCAACTATGATTATGGAAAGGGAATTAACCATTTCAAGGTGCTGTGTCTTCTGCCTGCAGCAGTAACTGCTGATGAGCATCACTGTGTGCTGGGGCTGTCCTGCCCAGAGTAGGGAGCCCAGCACTTCTCCTCTTGGCAGGCTAGGATGAGACTTGGGGCAGTGTGGCCATCAGCATCTCATTCTGAGCAGGGAATAACACATTGTCTTTGCCCATTGGTAGAGATGTCCCATTTGCTATGAATTACAGGAGCTGAGGGTGCAGAGAGCTTCAGGAATCATCACAGTAACTGATGCTGTGCTGCAGAAATAAGCCAAAGTGTCCATTTTCCATAGCAGGCAGACTCTTTGCCAGGGGCAAAGCTTCTCTTCAACTTACATCCTGGGAAGGGAGGATAAAACTGACTTCTGAGATCATCTCTGTTGAAGAAAGAGACCACACATCGATGTGTTTAAAAGGAGAAAAGTAATTTTCTTCTAATATGGTAAAGGGTGACTAAGTAGAAAAGCTAAAGGCACTTAAATAGTAAAATGAAAATGAAGGTTAAAAATGTGTCTTGGACGTTTGTGTACTGAATCACTCAGGTGCAGACACTGTGTGTTGCTTCTTGTAGCACAGAGCATTTTCACTGATTAACATGCTCCGGTGTTTTTTTTATCCCCATTGTTTTTTAGCTCAGGTCAGTTCTGTGATTTTGGCAGTAAAGGTGATAAATATGCAGGTTTTTCCAGCTAGGGCTGTACAGAAGTGCTGAGCTGGTGTAGAAAAACTGCAAAGTAATTCAAATTGGGTTTCATTGATGGCCAGAGACAGCAGCAGTTCCTCAAGCCACAAACTCAGGTGTATCATTCCCAGTTGGTTTGGATGCTCCTACGCATGCCATAGGTGCTGATGGCACTGTAATCCCTGTGGCAGGACTGTCCCTGCTCTGGCATGGGCATGACATTCCCCAGGGACCATCCCCTCTGTGTCTGGCAGCACTGCCACCATGGCACTTCTGCACTCTGGGCTTTGAAGATTTTATTAAGTCCATTCCCACTAGGAAATCTGCCTGAGACTTATTTCATTAGGAAAATAGTTTCATTAGGAAAATACAAATAGACATGAGGTAAATCTTTACAGTGTGGATCTAAGGGAGAGTGGAAGCACATCGTGGTTGTTGTGCTGGGTACAGCTGTGACTTGTGGGGTTTATTATGGCTTCTCATGGTGCATAATTCCTCTTGCTTTCCAGTAAAAGTCTTGGGAGAAAAAGGTAGGAGAGGAATTAGGAGTTTTGGAAACTTGTCTGCAATATTTCTGCTATTTGGAGCAAAGCTGATTGTGTGCCTTGTAAAAAGGAGAATTTTGTTGATGGTCATTTACTTTGGGGAGCATCAGACATTTTGAGGAACAAAATAGAACCTCAGAATCACTGAGGTTGGAAAAGCCCTCCAAGACCATCGAGTCCATCCTGTGCCCGATCCCCACCTTGTCACCCAGCCCAGAGCACTGAGTGCCACATCCAGTCCTTCCTTGGACACCTCCAGGGATGAGGACTCCACCACCTCCTCAGGCAGCCCCTTCTAATGCTTGACCATCCTTTCCAGGAAGAAATTCCTCCTAATGTCCAACCTGAACCTCCCCTGGTGGGAGGTTTATCAATAGTATTGATAAACCGACAAATTCAAATGGTAACAATCTTTATTCCTTCTGTTCTGATTTCTAAAGCACCTGTCACTGCAGGGGTGTAACTTGTCTTTGGGCCAATCTGGGAAAAATGATGTGACCTGGTTCAGCCACTTACCAGGACCTCTCTGGGGCTGGTGGGTCATGCCACAGAACATGGGACAGCACACTTGGAATTAGCTTTGGATTGATAATTTAGATGATGTTCAAGGTCTTTTGATAATGCAGATGATCCTTAAGATGCCTTACAACCTTATGATTCTATGATTTTATATTTTACTTTTAAATTCCTGAGTTCAGAATAGTAATAGTCTTGATATGCCACTAAATAATAATAAATAAAGCAATTGAAAACAAAACCCAAACAAAAGATGGAGATTAATGTTTGATCACTGGGGGGAAATGTGCCAAGTACAATTTCAATATTAAATTCCAAATAGCATTTTTAGAATCTCTGTTGCTCCCAGCCTTCCCTCTCTTCTTTCAGCCAGCAACAGGGCTGGGAGTACCAAACTGGGCTTTAATGGGCTGTTTATGCAGGGGACAATGAGCAGCAGATGCCCATTGATAATGGTAATGTGGATGCAGACATGGGGTTGAAAATGTTTCTAAAGTTGCTGAAGAAGCAGGAAAAAAATGTATGTTTCTTATTTGAATGAGTTTTACCTTTTTATCAAGAGATGGCTGAGGAGTCTCTCTGAAATGCCAGGAGCCTGAGCAGCACCACAAACAGATTCCTGAATCAAATGGAAATTAAGCTTTCTGCTACATTTCTGCAATAATCTATTCAAAGAGGAGAAGAAGCTAAAAACCATAATAACAATGGGAGAAATTATACAGCCCCACGGTTTTTCCAGCACTGCTGTTAGCAGAACACTGGATTGATGTTGTACCTATTTTTATTTTTGCTGCTGGAACAGCCTTTGTCACAGAAAGAAGGCACACAAATTTCAATAGCTCCTACATTTTGTGAAATATATGAAGTGTTGCACTCATCTGACCTTTTCAGAATTTTTCATTTCAATTGCCTGGTCACCCCAGTCTTTTGCAACAGGTTGGGCTTCCCTTTAATGGGAAGAGGAGGAGTGCAATGGTCAACCATTCAAAATACTGAATATTAAAAAGGTCAACAGAGTATGGCATGGCAATGTGAAAATGAGACAATACAATCCCAGATACCTCCTTACAGTGACAAAAATTGTAGCAAGGAGAGAAAATGTCACAACACAAATCCATTTCCAGAACGGATGGGAGTGTGGTGTTCAGTGAGTCTGTCCTTGCTGCAAAGTTCAGGCTGTGTCCCTGCAGCCTGTACAAACCCCAGGGAATGGGGCTGTATGGCTGACAGGCAAAAGTATTCAGAGTCTGAGTCATAGAATCATGGAATGGCATCAGCAACGGGTGAACACTGGGCTCTAGCCTTTATCTCTCCCACCAGTTTGGATGCCAAGAGAATGGGACTCGAAGTGCTCTTGGTCATGGTTTTAAACTAGTAGAGCTCCAGAGAGATAATTAGAAAAAGCCAAAACCAGATATGAAACAGCCTGTACCTGCCTTCACTCACATGTAAAATATTTGGGATGGGACATACGTGTCCTGCCTGCTGGGACTGTGGAACAGTGTGGGGAGAGAGGCACTTCTTGCTGTTACAGCCCACATTGGATCAGTTCAGGTGCTTTTTTATGAAATACACTGACCAGGGGCCATGGTTTCCCAGCAGAGTATTGGCAAGTACCATAAAATCCCCAAAGCAATAAAATAATGATTGACAGAGGAACTTGGCTCATCACCTGCTGCTGCCTTTCTCCTGAGGGGGATGCAGGAGGCACCCTGTGTGCCCTCCCCATGGGGCTGAGCTGGGAAAAGCTCCTCACCTTAATCTCTTTGGGCTATTTGGGGTTTATGGGGCAGAACCAACACTTCAGGCTCCATTTGCAAACTAATGTTCAGGAAATGCACGTCCTGCTCTCTGCCAGGCTGAGCGAGGAGCCCCCCCTCGAGGCAGAGCCAGCCTGGGAGGGTAATGGCCCGGGGGTCTGAAACAAGTCTTGAGAGTATAAACCAGAAAGGTTTACACCCAAAATTGTTTATATATAGGAGCTGAGTGTCCCTCTCCCTATAGTGTGTAACACAACCAGCTCCTCCCCTCTGTCTCTGACAGCAGAACGTAAGGCACATGCTGAGTTAGGAGGATCTCCATTTATTCCTTAAAGATCTTTTACTGTCCCAGGTGCCCCTTGATCTGTTTCAATCCTGTTTTCCAGACTCGGAATTGGTGTTAACATACCATTGTTCTTTCAAAAACACAATTCCATTATTGACTCATCCTTAATTTCCTGTCAAAATTATTTTAATACTTATTTTCTTCACAATAAATGTTACATGTGGGGTTTTTTTCTCTCCCATGTATTTCTGGTTGCCTATTTATTTTTTAACTATTCACCTCCCCTGGGAGCATGGATCAGTTCAAGAGCTTTAAGCAAGTGGAGGGAATAAGAAAAGCCAGGTATCCCTGGCTCTCAGATCCCTCTCCCTCCTCCCTCTCCCTCTCAGTCTGGGAGGAGGGAACCAGGTGGTTGCAGAATGGGGGGGCTGCCCTGGGGTCTACCTGGAGGGCTGCCAGAGCATGGCTGGGGCTCCTGGTCTCGCACAGCCCCAGGCACAAGGGGGATTGGCTGTCCCTGGGGAACCATCTTCCTAACTTTCTGCCAGATAATTGTAGAATCATAGAATGGTTTGGGTGGGAAGGGACCTTAGAGCTCATCTCATTGCACCCCCTGCCATGAGCAGGGACACCTTCCACTAGACCAGGTTGCTCCAAGCCCCATCCAACCTGGCCCTGGACACTTCCAGGGATGGGGCAGCCACAGGGCAACCTCTGCCAGGGCCTCACGACCCTTGCAGGGAAGACTTTCTTCCCAGTATGCCATCTAACCTTGTCCTCTACCAGTGGAAAGCCATTCCCCCTTGTCCTGTCACTAGTTCCTGATGAAGAGTCCCTTTCTTCATCTCCCTCTGGCTTCCTTGTAGGTCCCCTTCAGATACTGGAAGGAATCTGAATTATGGCAGATTGGTTCAAGCTTCTCACAACTCACTTGGTTTTGAAGTAGAATTCACAGTGGGTATAGCAGGAGTGGGAAGTGCCATCA